TACTTCCCCAATAAGCCAGGAAAGTAAAAGGCTAAATTTTCAGATTATTACTAAATTGTAAGAGCCCCAAAAGTTGAAAGGTTGGGTATTGGGAAACCAAGCTAAGGCTTTAGGGGCCCACGGTTTATAAGGGGGGATTACGTATGGTATGGTTCGTAGCCTACTGCTTAAGGACCCAATGGCCCCATACAATTATATTATGAATCCCTATATGGTAAATGAACCAAAAACCCTTTGAGGGTTTTTTCGTCCTTAAGACTACAAGCAATATCAGCAACTGGAGCCCTGGCGTAAAATGTCAAAGTGTGTGCGCGCATGTCTGCGACCGATCAGCATAATGTAGGGGCCTTAAATAATTGGACTAGGGTTTGGGGGTCCATTCTACTATACTTATAATAAGGACCCCCCCTCAAAAACAACAGTATTGGTGATTATTAAACCCTATATTCTACCCGCAAAGTACATCAGCCGCAGTGAAGGATTCATCGGGTGTTTAGGGTGTATAGGGCTTAAGCCTCCTACACTCTCACCTCTAGAACCCTAAACCCTGAACCTGAAACTGACTTCCCCAATAAGCCAGGGAAACAACGGGTTATCCTTTCAGATTACTGCTAAACTATAAGAACCCCGAAAGTTTAAAGGTTGGGTATTGTGGAACCAAATAAAAGAACCCCAGACCCTGAACTCCTAAACCCCTAAATCCTAAACCCCCAAACCCAAACCCCTAAACCCTAAACCCTAAACCCTAACCCCCAACCCCTAACCCCTAAACCCTAAACCCTTAAACCCCCAACCCCAAAACCCTAAACCCCTAAACCCTTAAACCCTAAACCCCAAAAACCCAAAGCTCCGCAACCCCAAAGCTCGAAACCCTGAAGCTTGAGAACCCGCAGCCCGCAGCCCTACGCTTCGCGGGCCTTGGGCGCGGGAAACCATAAGCCTTGGTTTAGGGTTTAGGGTTTAGGGGTTTAGGGTTTAGGGGTTTTGAAGGTTTTAAGGTAAAGGGTTTAGGGTTCGGGGTTTAGGGGTTTAGGGTTTGGGGTTTAGGATTTAGGTGTTTAGGGTTTAGGGTTTGGGGTTTAGGTTTTGGGGTTTAGGGGTTATTAGAGTGAGAGGAGGTGGCTTCAGGCCTACTTTCAAGGATCCGGGGAAGTAGTACAGGGGCCTAAAGTAACTAGAATAGGAAGTATAGTGTATTTTGGCATAAAAACAAACCAACTTTAGATATATATATATATATATGTATATATATGTATATACACCCTAAACCCTAAACCCTAAACCCCAAACTCTAAAAAATAGGGAACCCCAAGGAAACATGTTCAGGAGTCTATGTTCCTTAAACGAGCAGGGGAGTACAAAGTACAAAGGTTATGCTGGAGCCGACGAATCGGGGGGGTAGTGTATCTTACATAAGAATCCAAGTACCTCATAATCGTATTCTCTCCAAGGTACTGAGCTATAGAATTTCTATCCGAAACCCATAAAGCCTAAACCCTACACCAAAAAGCCTAGGCGCTTCCGGCTACTTACTAGTTCATGGCCTGGTGCTCTTCATGTAGAGGGTCAAGGGCCGTGCGGTTCAGACGTTCCCACCGGTTTAAGGTTTAAGGTGCAGCACTGAAGTTTTTCGGAAATTTGGGGTTTAGGGTTTCAGAGAATGTTAACAGCCTTGACGCAAAGGTTTCGAATTTGGAGTGCGAACTTGTTGTTGTGTCGGGCATGAGGTTGCAGGTTTAGGGTTTAGGGTTTAGGGTTCAGGCTTTGTGGCTCAAGGGCTTTGGTTTGACCTTGCTTCCCTTTTTCGTGCAACATATTTCATCTGCAGAACTCCACACCGCACATCCCTCCATCAGTGATCCCAACCCTGAACCCCTGAACCCCACTTTGCTCAACTTCGAATTCTTGAGCGACCTAGATTGCACGAATGTATATACGTATGTATTTTTTATGTATGTATGTATGTATGTATGTATGTATGTATGTATGTATGTGTACGTATGTATGTATGTATGTATGTATGCATGCATGCAAGTATGTATATATGTGTGTATGCATGCATGTGAGTAGGTATGTAAGTATGTATGTAAGTATGTAGCTGTGTATGTATGTATGTATGTATGTATGTATGCATGCATGTATGTATGTGTGTATGTATGTAAGTAGGTGTATGTATATGTGGATGTGTGGATGTATGTATGTATGTATGTATGTATGTATGTAAGTATGTAAGTAAGCATGTAAGTATGTAAGTAAGTATGTAAGTATGTAAGTATGTAAGTATGTAAGTATGTATGTATGTAAGTATGTATGTATGTATGTAATGTATGTATGTATACATGTAACTGCTCACTTATATGGTGCTTTGTACCTTCACACAAGCATACCGATGTAGGCGATACTAGGTATGATATACGTGTATAGATATAGGCATGGCATATACTCGTACAAACATATACATGTATCTCTATATATAATATGTATATATATATATGTACATACTCAACATAAAGTCGTACATATACATATGTATATACATATATATATATATATATATACATGTGCTTTGACACTTACGAATACATACCCTGAACCCTGACCTTCTACAACTAGGTTAGGTTCCTGAGTGACCCCCGAAACAATAAGGGTAGCCTTGTTCCTGCTCTTCAGTTTGGATACGGGCGCCATACAGTTTAGGGGTTTAGGGGTTTAGGGTTTAGGGGTTTAGAGGTTTAGGTTTAGGGTTTAGGGTTGAGGGTTTAGGGTTTAGGGGTTTAGGGTTTAGGGTTTAGGGAACCATACATCAAAAAGGGCAAAGGACTACTACTCAGGAACCTGGACAAGGTTGCACCAGGGAGCAAGGAATCCCACTGCCGCTCTCCTGGCTGTTCTGGCCCGAGATGACCGAATTCCACCTGAGCTGTGGACTGCACACACAAAGGCCTCGTTTCTGGCTGTATAGGGTTTAATGAGTTTAATGATAGATTTTTCCCTTACAGTCCTCACCTACTCATACTACACCCCAAAGCTCTAGGCCAATTTGTAGGGCAGCTAATGAGCCACAATACTTCGAACTCTCAGTGAAGAGCAAATGCGAAATTGCGCCAAGTCAGTCATCTAGCTCGTAAGATGTCGACATTAGCGCAAGGTTCCCCGGTATCCATTACTAATGCTATCATGGGGGGCAGCTAGAAGAGCAGTATATTCTGATTCTTTTTCGAAATAGGTTCTGATTCGTTCTGATCGCTCGGCTCCGTAATCTTGCAATTGTACTGCAATTTGTAGCATACCCCGGGACTACATTGGGAATGACATTCTGAACCTCCAAAATCCCTTCAACAAACAAACTCTAGACTCTAGACCAACAGCCCTGTTGAGGATTACTAGAGGCATCCCAGCAGGAAGTCCACAAAACATGAGGGCTCTGGACCCTGAAACCCTAAACCCTAAAACCCCACAGTCACACCGTAAACTCTAAAGCCTAAACCCCAAAACCCTAAACCCTAAGAACACTTCAACGCAGAAGTTCTACACTAAACCCCAAGCACTAAGGAATGCGGCGAAGCGGCACTGATTTCGGGTTTCACAGGGTTTAGCGATTCGGGAATGGCTTAGGGGTTTAGGGCCGTGCATAGGGGATTAGGGTTTAGGGCTTAGGGCTTAGAGGTTTCATACTGTTGATGATATTAAATCCTGCATTACCTTACGGACCCTTCACTATGGGGATTATGGTATATTCCTTATTATGGGTTGATGTAGGACCCTAAACCCTAAACCCTAAACCCTAATCATCAACCGTATGGCCGTATAAAAGGTTTCACCGGACAGGTTGAGAGCTTCGCAGTGTTTCGTAAAGGCTTCGTCGGGTTTTGATAGGTATGCATATGGTTTGACAGGGTCTCATAAGGTTTAGGGCTTTGGGTTTTAGGGTTTGGGCTTCATAGCTTACTTCCCCAATAAGCCAGAAAAATAACAGGTTACACTTTCAGATTACTACTAAATCATACGATACTAAATCGTAAGAACCCCAAAAGTTTAAAGCTTGGGTATTGGGGAACGAAGATATGGGGCTTTACATTGGTTTGCAGGGTTCGGAAAGATTCTGTTCGACAGGGTTTCGGAGCTTCGACGTTGTTGAACAATCTGAATTAGAGGAAACTACAGGTGGGGAATTCAGGGTATATAGGGCTTCTATAAGGCTTCCATAAGGTATATAGCCCTTCTATAAGGCTCCTATAACGGTAACTAAGCACCCGAAAATGTCCTAGAAGTCTGAAGCCCGATCGCCCTTGGATCCATAGACCTAGGCCTGCCGAGTATAGAGCTGAGGACCCAGAGAGCCCAATACCCCTTAGGGTTTTAGGGTTTTGGGGTTTAGGGTTTAGGGGTTTAGGGTTTAGGGGTTTAGGGTTTTAGGGTTTAGGTTTTAGGGTTTAGGGTTCAGGGTTCTAGGGTTTAGGTTTTAGGGGCTTAGGGTTTAGGGTTTACTTAGAGGGTCGGGGACTTAGCAACTAGTTATTTTATAGACTTGTAAGTACCATAACCCCCAATTAGGATCCCTTTATCGGGTACTTATAACTCTACTTAGTATCTGCTTACTAAGTCGACCCTCCAAGTAGGGTTTCAAGTTCATTCACATCCGCGGTCAT